GGAGGGTCAGATAAAAAGAGGAAGACCCCCAACGAGATGGATTGGCCAGGTGGCAGCATCGATGGACTCAAGTGTGGCACCAGTAGTGAGGTTGGCCCAGGATTGGATATTGTTTCGTTCTGCTGTACATAGGGTTGCTATAATTCGATGCTGACTCAATGGCACCTAACAACAACAACATATTATCTATCTATCTATCTATGCATATATGGAGTCCTCTGGGTTAATTCACTGAACTGCAACGTCAGTTTGAACCACAAGGTTGGCGATTCAAACTCACCAGCCGCTCCTCGGAAACCCAATACACAGTCTCTATGAGTCAGAACAACAACATATATGTATTTATTCAATCTCCTTTATTTTTGTTGTTATTGAGAATAGGCACAGTAGACCATATACCACTTAAAGTTTCTCTATATACAGTTCAGTGACATTGTTTGAATTCTTTGAGTTGTACAAACAATATCACCCTACTTTTTTGAATTGTTCCTTCCTCATTAACTTAGACTCACTGCCCCCTAAGTTTTCTCTCTCATCTTTTGCGCTGCTGCTGTCAGTTTGATCCCATATAGCTGGATCTTCAAAGAGCATAATGCTCAAGGCAGACATTCTTTACTGGTTAAAGCTGAACTATTTACTTTTAACTGTTCACAAGGTCAACATAATTGTGTACCTAAAATGCAAGGGTTTGAAACTCCAAGCACTTAAGATAAAACATCCATGCAATTTTTCCCCCCTCAGGAAAAACGCTCAACGATTTTTAAAGAAATAAATGAAACTAAGAGCAGAACCCTTGATTTGCAATCCAAAATACATAAATTCAATGAGGAATTAAAATTAAAAGAACAAGAAAAGAAACGCTTTGATGAAATACTTAATGCTTTAAAGTGAGTACTTAAATTTTATCAAAATAGTAAGTTTATTTAATATATAACTGATAAAAGGCATAAGATTAAGCTTCCAGATTTGGTAGTTATTATAAAAATGGTCAATGTTTTCTTTCATAATATTTTGTGAAGTCTATACAGGATATTTGACTTACAAAAGTATAATTACAAACTGTTTTTGTATTCTTCACTACTCCTTGAGTTGGCTATCATTTGAATAATTGGAAATATTTTTCCCTCTCTAGCTATGGATTAGTTATTCTTTATTATATAAGTGATCTTTTAAATTAATTTCAGTATGTCTCATTTGTGTACCATGCTTAATAATTTGTGGGTTTTCATGCAAACTTTTGGATAACAATTTTGAGGTAAGAGTTTAAAAATAAGTCTTTTATAAAACTTTGCAATTTATGCACATTTTTTATCTTCAGTAACCTCCTTCATCTGGGACAAACCTAACAAGAGTTAGTAAGATCCCTGTGAGAATGATCTAGGCTCATAGTAGACATGTATTTAGAATTTATTTGCTCTTCCTTTACTCTGCTTGGTTCTTCTATTTTATAATACATTGGGGACTGAGGACATAACTGGGAAACTAGTAGAGAAGTATGCATTGGTCGTATTTAAGATAGAGAGTTTGAATAAACATAGAAGGCTAATGCAAGCATTAGAAAAATTTTAGTTTATGAAAGATAAAGTACCAAACAACAACAAAACATCTATGTTCATCATGATATCATGTAGACTAATTAAACTCAAGGAATTCAACCAGAATTTCTTTAGTTATTACCATAGGGTTATAAGTTATTTCCAAAATGATTATCTAGCTTTATTTTAAAAAGAGTAAATTATATACTTTGTATCCTGTAAGAAAGCAAGGAAACAAGCCATTTACTTTGAAAGATATTTATCCACATTATTTGAAATCTACAAGAATTTTTGGGCTTTAAAGTGGAACCGTGGATTAATGCACTGGACTGAAAAGTTTGTTTGAACCTCAAGGTCGGCTGTTCAAGCTCACCAGCTTTTCCTTGGAAACCCTGTACAGGGTCGTTATGGGTTGGAACCAACTACGGCACTTAATAACAACAACACAAGTGTAAGCTTTAAAGAAGGAGCTCTGCTAGCGTAGTGGTTACGAATCGGGCTGCGAACGTTAAGGTCAGCGGTTCGAAACTACCAGCTGCACCAAGGGAGAAAGATGAGGCTTTCTACTCCCGTAAAGATTTACACCCTCGGAAACCCTATACAGGGTCGCTATGGGTCGGAAACGACTCGATGGCACATAACAACAACAACAACATAATGTTTGGTATAGTGGAGGGTCAGAGAAAAAGAGGAAGATCCCCGAAGAGGTGAATTGGCACAGTGGAGACAGCAATGGGCTCAGTCATAGGAACAATTTCGAGGTTGGCCCAGGACTGGGTGGGCAGTGTTTCATTCTGTTGTGCATAAGGTCATTTTTATGAGCCAGTATTGCCTCGAGGGCACGTTAACAACAACAACAAAGTGCAAGCTTGAAATTACACAATTTATACTATAATTATAAGATCTAATTTAGGAGCTGAAGGGAGTTTTTCTTCTAGAAAAATTCTAAGAATTCTTACCATTGTCAGTTCAAATGTTTGATTTCAGACTATGGTTAGATTGTATTGCTTTGCAGACAAGAGTGGAGACAATGTACTGATGAGACAATCACCTCTGTAAACTTGGAAAAAAAATGACTTACTATACAATTAAACTGACAGTATGGTATTATTTACAATGACATTAATTACTTTACAGAGATGATGGACAATAGCAAATATATTTTAAAGCTACCAGTGGTTGATTTCCTGATTTCCCATGTACTTTGCTAGGTAGTCTATGTATTTATCTCATTTAATTATCATAAAAGATTCTTATTATATACAATGTTATTTCCATACCCGTGCTAAGAAAAAAAATGAGTCAGAGAATTTCAGTGATTGAAGAGGAAAAAAAGAGTAGTCATCTACAATTTGATGAACTTGACCTATACTTATGGATGCAGTAGCTCAAATGAGGGAACAAATCTTTACAGCGAGGATTATTCCTACCCCTCGGTACACAGTGTTGACAGGGATGGGAAACTTAGACTTTGGCTACCCAAAATAGGGGGGCTACAGAGGCAAGAAGTGGACTGACTTACAAGCTCTCAGGAGGGACCCTAGTTCCAGAGGGTGTAGGGAAAGGTAGAATCTCCACTGAGTGGTTTCCAACCTGTCTGAATGGGGCTGGTAAAAGGAGATGGGGATAAGACTTTTGTGGTTCAATAGTAAATAATTGCTATCAGGACTGATTGTGAGTGTTGGAAATGTAGAGGTAGACGTTTTGTAACAAAAGGAGGGAATGGTTGATTTTGCAGTCCAGGAGCAGAGGTTCATTGGACTATCAAGTGAGAGGAGCAGAGGGTGGGGCCCTATCCAGAGAAGTAGTGATGCCAGAGATGGAGGCAGAGACAATGATGTGGAGAGATGGAGCGGCTGGGGACTCTGGACTTAGGGAGGAAGAGGGTTTGTGTGCTAATGGCCGGGGAGGGCAGACTTGTAGGGTGTACCCTATGGCTGATTGATGATGCATGGAGGGGATTGTAATCATTGCAATGACACAAAATACAATAAGATGAATGTAAAGCTAATATTTTCCCATGTAAACTATCACTTAATTCACAATAAAAAAGTTAAAAACAAAACAAAACAGAGTATTTCTAGATTTATCTTGAAGTATAGTTCTGTCAGTGGAATGATATCAAGGACATCATATAGGAAGAAAGCACAAGGTCATTAAAAAGAGAAGAAAGAAGGAAGAAACCAATATGAATGTCAGAAGAGACTCTGAAACTTGCATTTCAGCGTAGCGATACTAAAGCAAAAGAAAGCATTGAGGAGGTAAAAGAGCTAAATAGGAAATTTCAAAAGGCAGCTAAAAAAGACAAAGTGAAGTATTATAATGAAGTACAAAGACCTGGAATTAGAAAACTAAAAGGAAAGAACACACTCAGTATATCTCAACCTGAAAGAACATGTTTGCTAATGGTGTAGGACTGGGCAGTATTTGTTTTGTTGTTCACAGGGTTCCTATGAGTTGAAACAACTTTACAGCACTTAATAACATGAACATATTAATTACTTATATTTTACTACCAATATTTTCTCTTTTATAACTAACAATTTTACCATAAAAACGGTCATTTTGCCTTTGTAACAAACGATGCTTAGCTGAAGAAAAAATACATTCATATGTTATCTTAAACAATAAAGAAGTGTATCATCTGAAGAGATAGGAAGTTCATGGATATGAAAGCTACATTCTGTAGATCAACATTAGGGCCTCATTCTTTTCTCCCCTCTCCATTTTGCCTGTTACCAATAAATCTGAAAGCATCACTCTTTGTTCACATTTAGTGGATGTGAGCTTCTTCTTCTACAAAAAATAGTCCTCCTCTTTCATTTTATGGTGCAAACAATGTATGTACTCATTGTTGACAATCAACCATGTGATGACAGACTATAAGCTAATCAAACTATATCCTTGGAGTTATAAGAAGTTTTCTTGGAATGGGAACAGAGCAGAAGGATGCTGGCTACGCAGCCAAGAGAATGCACTACATTTCTCCATAGATTTTCTTCCACTTGGATAGTTTAGATATCGTTATATGGAGCATCTATAGGAAACCCTGGTTTAGTAGAGATTTAAGCATTTGGCTGCTAAATGCAAGGCCAGCAGTTCAAACACTACCTGCTCTGCAGGAGGAAGACGAGACTGTCTAGTTCATAGCTTTGGAAATTGTATGGGGCAATTCTACTCTGCCCTGCAGGAGCACTATGAGTCAGAGTCAGCTGGAAGGCTGTGAACATATTCAGTCACCATGTCACAAAGAATTAAGCACTTAACTGGTAAAAGAAAGGTTGGTGGTTCAAATCCACCCAGACGTGACTTGAAAGAAAGTCCTGCAGATCTGTTTCTCAAAGGTCACAGCCACAAAAACCTTATAGAGCAAAATTTTACTCTGCAAATACGGAGTCAAAATGAGTTGGAATCGACTTGACAGCAGCTGTTTTGTTTGATACATGGAAGTAGGGCTTAGAAAGGGATTAGGAAACTTTTCCAAAGGTCTTCAGCTCTGTGAGTTTTCAATAATGGGTCTTTAAACGTGTCTCTTAAATATATTTGATGAAATATGAATTGATTAGTGCAAATGTAATTTTTTCTTCATAGGGAAGAATTTATAAGCATAAGATATAAAAAAGAACACATACAAAGCGTGTTTGACCAGTACAAGAGTGAGAAAAGATCCTGTCAAGAGAGATTCTATGAGGAAGAAGAGAGATTTAAAATGCTCGTTTCCATGAGGCAAAACACTCTGGAAGAAATTAAGGTGAGTATCACTTTTGAACTGTTTTAAAAAGAAAGAAATATAGTGATAGCCAAATTAGCAGCTAGTTTGAGTCATTAATTTTTCATCTGGATACTAAGATGTCTACATTTATACAAATAGATTTATTAGCAAAATAAACATATAGCTTCTCAATTTTTCTTCTAAGTAATTATAATATTTTAATTATAAAAAAAAGGTGGTTCTCATTGTATAATGACAATTAATTCATTCTGTTAATATCCACAGCTGAATCATATTATACTTTCAATAAATTCTATATATACTCCCATTTTATTCTTATTTTTTAATCTGCTGATTAAAAATGAAGATTACATTTATTCTATGATCATTTTAATGTTTTTAATGGAAGGTTTGCAAATGGTTATACTTTTGTTTCAGAATAAGTACATTTTAAATTCTTACCAATAGATTTCTTATTTTTTTTAGTGGGAACATGTCATACTCTTTTTCTCTAAAAAAGCTTACATGTTTTAACTGCACTGAAAATTTACTTGGTGTAAACAGGTGAACTCTGTGAAATGTGTCTCTTTAGGTATGAATTGTTATTAATCTCAAGTTTTATAAAGCTTAGTTTAATAATATAAATATTAAATCTTTCATATAGAATATGATAGAATGATAAATGTTTTAGTTTCCTAGGTCATTTTGCAATAGTTTTTGTTACTTTCAATTACAATGAATAATAATGCCATAGAATATCAATATATTTAGGATTATTAATTTTTCAGATATTATAAAGATAATTTTTGCTGAAAATCCAAGAATATTTCTTTAATTTATTAAAACTGTTTCCTGTAAACTTAAGATACATGTAATATCATTACAATTTTTTAAACTGTTCTCTGACTTTGATAGTTGTATGTTCAATTATAAGATAATTGAATTTCTCCCATTTTTATGTATTGAAAGGCAAAGTTATTAGATGAGAAAGAAAGATTAATTTGGGACATTGTATGTCCATTGAATAAACAAGCATGTGAATGGGCGAACCTACCATCATTAATGATTTTACTCTGAACCCCTCCCATAAGAAAATTATTAGTAAAATTAAAGATAAATATTTTTCTCTATTAATAATGGTACCAAGTAACATTCTTCCATTTCCATTTTAACTATGACATGACATAAAAAATTACACACACACACACACACACACACACATATATATTATATTTTGCAGTGTGTGTGTGGGGGGGTGTTCTGAAAATATGAAAATAATTGGTGCCATCTAGTGGCAATAATAAATGACGCTTCCTCTTTGAAGAATTCCTAGGACTTTGATGGGTAAGTCTCACATAAATGAGATGTGAATGGATACCACCCAAACTGAGAAAGCTTAAGTTCTTGATTGGCTTAAGCATCATTGTCCACGTCATATTTTATCACAGCAGTGGAGTTATTTGTTTGAATTCAACCACTTGATCAATCCTGCTGGTGCTGAAAACACAGTTAGCAGCATCTCAGTAACTATTTATTGTCTGGTGTCTCAGCACTTTAATAATTAGTGAAATGGCAAGATATGGTCAGTAGGAAAGAGATGAATAAAGTGCATGCATAACTAACTTCTAAAAAGTTGAGATTTGTATTTTTTTTCATTAAAAAATCTGTTCTCATTTTCCCATTCTGCAGTGTATCCATGTGTTCCCAACCACTGAAATCCATCACATAGTTTCATTTTTAATTTACTTTATTTTTTAGGATAAATCTTTGTGTGCATTGGTTTGTTCATTTGTTTTAACGTGCTTGTTGGCTGCCCTGCTCCTGCAATAGGTGTTCTCTGTTGGAATGGGAAATTCTCATTCTTCTCTGTATCCTAAAGCTCAGAACTATGCCTGACACTAAATAAGTACTCATTGAATGAATAAATTCATGACTTTTTTTTATAATATGTCAGCCGTTTATATGACAACGCTGAAAGCAGGAACATTTCGGGGATACTTTCTGAACTGCATCAGCCTGATACTTTAGTGACCACTCATGCTGTAGGTAGAAGCTGAATCTCTAAATTGTCTATTGCTTTCTAGCAATTAAAGGCTCTGTTAAATACCTCAATAATGCTTTTCAAATCACCTTGAATTTATGTGAAGTTGTCTCTTATCAGTTACTTGGATAGCTCTTTGTCATGCATTCACCTTATATGACTAGAAGCATAGAGTTTGCCCTTGTGGACTTTAGAGATTAATATGCCTCATTATTAGCCATGCTATTTATCTAAGAGTAATAGCAGATATTGGTGATTAAATAGTAGAAAGGCAATGTGATTCCTGATAGCAAACCTTTACTCATCCCTGTTCAGAAATTGTAGAAAATGTTTGTAGATATGTATGTAAAATAATGCATACTTGGAAAGAAATGTCTTATTAAGATACCATTATAAAAGTGGTATTACTCTATAGTATAAGCACTGCACTGCTAGCTGTGAGGTCAGCGGTTCAATCCAGCCAGGCATTCCTCAGAAACATTATACAGAGTCTCTGTGACACTTAACAACAACAACAACACAACAACAACAACAGCAGCCCTTAGACAAAAGAACTGATCACAATTATGGGTCATCAGAAGTGACTGTTTAATAAAAGACTATAAAAGCCACAATAAAACTCATTGAAAATGTGATAAAACACAACAGAGAAATTTAAAACATATAGAGTTAATAAAATCGTTTAAGAAAAAAAATATACACAAATGTCAAATAACATTCAATATGATTCTAGAGATAAAGTCAATCTTTCCTCAGTAAACATATCATATATCTTTATTTAAAAATTCATTTATTCTTTTGTTGAAAATATACATAGCACAACATACACCAATTCAGTTTCTACATGTATAATTCAGTAACAGTGATTGCAGTCTTTGAATTGTGCAAATAATCTTACCCTCTTTTTCTGAGTTGGTTCTCCCCCATTACCATAAAGTCACTGCCCCCTAAGGCTCTTATCTAATTTTTCCAGTTACTGGAAAAAATTGTTAATTTGATCCCATATTGATAGATCTTAAAAGAGCACAATGCTCAAGGCAGAGATTTTTCTAGTTCAGCTTAACTATTGTTTGCTCTGAAGAAGATTTCAGAGGATAATTGTGTTTAAGTTATAAAGATTCTTTTCAGGCATTAATTTCAGGAGTTAATAGGACCTCTATGACTCCAGGAAACCTGGAGTCCATAAATTATAAGTTCTCTTCTGAATCCTGTCCACCACCCCCCCCCCGCTTTATCACAATACTTCTATAGACTAAACTGTTCAATAATGGTAGCCAGGCACCATTCAGTTCTTCTGGTCTCATAGGGGCAGTAACTCATGGATACAATTTGACACACATTTCATATCCTCCTCCTATTTCTGACTTGCTGTCTTCTTCTGGCATACATATATCTTTATATGGTAGATTTTTATTTTTAATGTCATGGTTTTTTTACTGCCTAGAATTTACAAATGAAATGCTTAAGTTTCAACATTTCAGTACAACACAGTCATCAGTTAGAATGATATAGTTCTAGCTACTGCTCTTCCTCTTTGCCTCTGCAATGATCCATGCAAAGCTGGAATCTAAGGCATGTTAATCTGTTATATGCCATCTTCAGAAGGCTCACTCTTAACTGTCTCAGTGCCTTTTGCTTGTGTGCTTTCCTTAGTCTTGCTCTCCTCACTAAAGCTTAGGTTGTGATTGTTGTTGTTAAATGCCGTCAAGTCGGTTCTGACCCATAGCAACCCTGTAGAGGGTTTCCGAGGCTGTAAATCCTTACGGGAGCAGAAAGCCTCATCTTTCTCCTGCGGAGCCGCTGGTAGTTTCGAACTGCTGACCTTAAGATTCGCAGCCCAATTCATAACCACTATGCTACCAGAGCATGGAAAAAATGAATTGCATTGGATTTCGGAAGAACAGAAGGAGAATTTCTAGACTGAGTTCTGGCAAAGATAATCTCTCACAAACCTTGAAGAATTATTGGGGTTTTTAGGTTGTTCCACATTTCCCCCTCACAGGAAATGCCAAATCTGCCTATTAAATCATTTCTAGACCTTTTCATGTGAAAAATTCTTGCCTTAATAAAGAGGCAGTGACTCACTGATTCATTGGGCAGTCAGGTATCAGAGTAGTGAAAATCAGAAATAAATTTAGTCTCTCAGAGAATTTTAAAGATAATTATAATTTTTTAACTATTCTAACATGAGTCACTCATCATTCACAAAATTATTTTCTGAGTACATGAGTACTACTATGTTCAAGGAGCTCAACATTAGCTGGCCGAACCCTAGCCTCAATTTTAACAATGACATATTCAGGGAAATAGATGTAAAACCCAGTCATGAAAATAGTGGCAAATGCTCCAGTTACAAACAATACATTGTGTCTCTGGATTACCACTCTGTTATATTAGAGACTCCGAATAAAAACATCACAGGTTCTGTGGTTTTAATAATGGAAAATGGATATGTGAAACACCTGGAAATATTTAGAGAACTGACCAACGAGCCTCCCAGGTAACAATAATTTGCCTCAGTGAAAAAATTTCCTACCACCAAAGAGCTTTTTCTTTTTTCTAACTTTTTACTGTGAATTGAGTGAAGTTTTACAGACAAGATCATCAGTTTTACCCTCAAGAAATCATACTCTTTGTTTCATCTCAATGATTGCAATCCCCACTTCCTCCCGGTGGTTCCGATTTGCATTCCACCCAGCTTCCCATCCCTTCTCAACTTCGTCCTTAGGAAAACGTTGCCCGTTTGATTTTGAATGATTGACCATTCCGTGGCAAGCAGACCTTACTAGTATTGTTGTCTCCCACTATCTACCTATATACTTCTTGGCTGAAAATTGGGCCACCAGGGTAGGTTTCTTTTCAGGCCTGAAGTTAAAGGACTATCATCTCAGGTTCTTCTAGTCTCTTTCTGACCAGTAAACCTGGTCTTTATTCATTTTTAAAAAATAATTTTGAGTTTTGTTCCACATTTTTTCTCACTCTATCCAGGACCCTCTAA